AGGGGACCGATTATATCGTGCATCCCTAGACTCTAGCACTAGGAATTTCATCTAATGAAGGTATAAGACCACTTGGGGTAGGACTATCACAGGAAAAGGAATGGAAGCAAGCACACCTCTTCCCCTACCAATATTTTTGGGTGTGCTAAACCAAAAGTGGTTCTTTGATAAGATATTGTTTAGGAGTTTGATAAATAAAAAGATATTCAGAATCCAAAACACAATAGAAATTAAAATCCCCGGCTTGGAATAAAAATAATAAAATTCATCGAAACAACAAAAGAAAACTAGCAACTTGTGAGTTACTGTAATGGCATATAAAACTTTGCAGTGTACAGTAATATTTTCTAATGCTACCATCTCAGCTGTGAAGGTGAACTCATACACAATGTGAACTGATGTCTTTAAAAACCGATATGGCAGACAGGACGGTCACAGGTTCGATGAACTTAATTGAAGTCCAAGGTCACGGCACCAATGTCACAGCTCCTCTATTAGCCATCCCGTTATGCACAGATCGGATGCCAGACAGTTGGGTTTAAAAAAAAAAGATTTACTGTAATGAATGGTAGAGAAAAACAAATACTCTGGTTAGCCTCCCCTCTGGTTCACCAACAACACAGCTAGGGGCCGAACAGATTCTGTCTTACATACACAATGAATCTACATAAATTCACAGGACCTTTTCTTATTATATTTGATCTTATAGTTTTTTTTTTCTTATACAATATATGTTTAAAATGAGTTCAAAACTTTTTGTTTTTGTTCCTTTCTATATAGATCAATTTAGAAAAACAAATACAGACAGCAAGTAAAATTAATTATTAAATAACTTAAAAGCAAAGCAAAATAAAGTAAACATCATAAAAACAACTAACAAGTAAACTGAGAGACATTGTACATATAACTGACAACTGACAAACATAACTGACAACCTTATCAAACAAAGTGGTAAACATAACTGACAACATAAATTACTAACATTTAATGTAATGAATGGTAGAGAAAACAAAATACTCTGGTTAGGGTCCCCTCTGGTTCACCAACAGCTGTAATGCAATAAAAAGTCCAGTAATCCCTCTGATACCCAGCTCCAACACTAAAAAGAAGACGGCCAGACCAGAGAACTCACCACAGCTGGTGGCCGAACAGATTCTCACAGCTCAGCTCAGCCAGAGCCTCTTCCTCTCCTGCTGAAAGTCCATCTTTGAGTGTCACGGGGAAGGAAAATGGGTTTCTCACCCACTGGTTTGCCATTGTCTCCTCTCCAAAATACTCTCCAAACTGCTCGCGCATCCCCTCCAAATGCGCGCAGACAGCCTGCTGTAAAAACTCCACCTTCAGCCCCGCTCTGACCAAAACATCCAAGGTGGGAAACATTTCCACTGATCCCCGCTCCACACGCGCACCCCACAGTTCCAACTTGGTCCTAAATCCATAATTATTTTTATCCTTCGCACCGCGCCTCCCCTAAGGTGCTCTTGCGCCCCCCAGGGGAGGCGCGCCTCACACTTTGAAAACCGCCGGTTTAGACCATGGCTCCATTTTTTTTTTTAGGGGCTGACAAGATACAAATGTGTAATACGTTTCAAGATTCTTGCACTAGTGAAAGTGACTTTCTTCCCTCAGGGCGTAGGGCTTTGATCATGTCATCATTTCACCAGCCAGTATTTTAAAGCAACCAAAGGGCCTCATTACTGTCAAACTTGGTAGAATTTTTTTTTGTAAAAGTTATTCTATTTCAAATTTCTTAATTCTTTTATCTCACATGTCTTATCTGCATACACACCAAGTTTGAAGTCCATACCTTGAAGTCTGAAGTCAAATACCCTTGGAGGAGATAGTTAAAATTCAACGTCAACAAAATTGAAAAATTGCAAAAAAATCCGCATTTGACCCAAAACGGCTGACTTCCTGTAGGTTTTAGAGCATATATCCAAAATACTTTTTTCATGATTCGTTGAGATCTACCTACCTGCCAAATCTCAAATTTCTGCGACTTACAGTTTTCCCGCACTACAGATAAAATAGGCCTTCACAGTGCTGTCGCTGCTCGGGCCTAATAAGACGAAATGCTCCCCAGAGTTTCTATCTTAATATATATATTCAACCCCTGCTTCAGGGTCTGAGTTGACTTGCTGTCTGCTGATCCCGGTCTTCTGTCTGCTTGTTAATGGTGCCATCTGAAAAATTGGTCAAAAGGGTTTGATATGACTAATAAATCTACAATTGCTTAAATATACTTTTTTTGCCTCATAGTTTTGTCTTTTTTCATATGATTTTACTATAATCAAAGACAAATGTTTACTCCTGAGTCGTAATGATAAGTGACTGAATTTGAAGAATGTGTTTAAATAAACAGGCAGTTTAAGTAACTTTTATGTGTAAATAAATAGAAACTGAGGAAATCATATTTGTCATGTAAAACACTTGGTAGTGGTCGCTACAAATGATCCTCGGTCACCCCAGATAAATTCTATGTTCACTTACAACCTAATATTTAGCTACAAAAACCAAGCTTGGTACCGTATTTTCACGACCATAAGGCGCACCGTACTAAAAGGCGCACTCTCAGTTATGTATCCCATTTCTGTATTTAACACACACATAAGGTGCACCGGACTATAGGGCGCGTTTTTTATATACCGGTACATGTCCTCTACTACCTTTAAATACCTCTACTGCGTATTTAAAAATACAGTGGGGGCAAAACTGAGTATGACTGTGATTTATTCATGTATTTATTACAAAGTATTAATCAAACCTGGGTGCTGGCCGTGAGACAGACACATCGCTGTTGACACAGAGCGCTGTGATCACTCCTAAATTAACTTAAAATCCTGAAACCTGCCGACGGAATTTGTTCGCTTTTATTACCGGTATCCTGGTGCCTGCAGCTAAAATTATTTAGATGAAAAACACCTCCCAGCAGCCGCGGTGAACCTGGAGGCTGCCCAGCCTAGAGGCTGCTGTTGAAGGGATTTCTGCTGTCGGTGTACCGCTGGTATGTGGGGGTCTGAGCGCCTCCGACAGAAATGGATAATCTGGATGAACTGACTGCAATTATGAAGTTTTCAGGTGGACTTTCTCACTTAAAAACATATTAAAACTACTTTATTACCACTGATCACTGCAAATATAGCTGCAAGATTTAGATTATTTAGATGAAAAAACACCTGCCAGCCGCCGCGGTGAAGAGGAGGAGACCCGCCCAGAGGCTGCTGATGAATTAAGTTTTCAGGTAGAAAAATAAAAGGGAGCAAAACTGAGTATGATTGTGCTTTATTCATGTATTTATTACAAAGTATTAATCAAACCCATCAAAGTCATCATCCTCTGTTTCTGAATTAAACAGCTGCGCTAAATCAGACATGCCAATTTCCCTTTCTTCGCTGTCAGAGTAACTTTCCGTGCAGCGCAGCTCCTCAGAAATAATGCCTGCTTTTGCGAAAGCTTGAACAACAGAGCCAGCAGACACATTAGTCCAAGCATCTACAATCCATCCGCAAACGGTGGCGTAACTTGCCCGGCGCTGCCTTCCACTTATCCTGAAACTGTGGTCTCTGTCGGTCATCCATCGCTCCCACGCCGCTCGCAGCCTTACTTTGAACGGCCGCTTCACACCGATGTCGAGCAGTTGAAGTTCCTTTGTCAGACCTCCTGGGATAATGGCGAGCACAGCATCCATTTGATTCACCATGTTTTTCTCATCAGCTGTGAGAAGGGCACGCATGGAGTCACAGATTAACTGCGATGGTGATGCGTGGAAAAAAACACCTGTTCTCCTCACATACACCTCCCTCAGCCACGCTTTCATCATTTCCTCATCCATCCAGCCTTTTTCATTTGCGCTAATATCATGTGTCATCAGAGCGCTGTGTCTGTCTCGCTGTCAGCTCCCAGATCTGCTTCTCTGATTGGTTGATGCGGCGCGTCCAGCAGCAAAACTTCAATTTTTCCATCTGGAGCAGCAGCAGCGCGTTGGCGGTGCGTCAGATGCTTAAACGCTCCCGACGCAGCGCCTGCTGCTCAAAACGCGCTGCGGGACCTTTTGCTGCGCCTATACGCGCGTCAACCATTGACTTTGCATGTAAACTCGCTGCTTCTGCTGCACCTGCTGGGTCCGGTTCACACCGATGTCGAGCGGTTGAACAGCGAGCACAGGGTTAATTTGTTTCCCCATGTTTTTCACATCAGCTGTGAGATGGGCACGCATGGAGTCACATATTAACAGCGATGGTGATGAGTGGAAAAAAAACACCTGGTCTCCTTACATTCAGCCACTCTTTCATCATCTCCTCAATGAGGTGGTCTCAAAAGTCGCAGTTACAACACACATAGGGCGCACCGCACCAAAGGGCGCACCGCACATTTTGAGGGAAAAAAAAAGACGTTTAAGTGCGCCTTATAGTCGTGAAAATACGGTACTTCTCATGACGTTACACTATCAAATTGATCATCAGAACGTAGATCTACATTTAAAGATTAGTTTTCAAAGTTCTGAGGTGGTCGCCTCACATGATAGCTAAAGGTGTCCAGTAGTTGACAACAGTCAAACTGCATTTATCAAAAGTCTCTGGATGATGCAGTATCCTGTCCCTGTCATGATTTTAAATGAAAAGTCCCAAAATTGTCCTTTTTGACGGTCTCCCCTAATAATATCTCATCAAATGATCTTGTAGAGACATTTGTAATGATGTTGTGATAGAAACAGACGTACAATGCTTATTTTGACAATGAATGTAAAACAAGATGGAATTTATTCCAAGAAGGTTAAGAGAGATATTTGTTTTGAATAAGTTGGTTTAGTTATGTTAAACTGGTTGTCTAAATCGAAATCAAGGCTAGATGGTCATCCCACAGGATGTTCTAACACTTCAGATGGCAGTAAAACATCAATAATTGAAATGTTTGGAAAACTAAGGTTTGGTTTGTGTGCTGTGTTGGTTTTTCCAGACCGCCTGCAGGATTATGTTGGAAAAGAGGAGGATTTCTCTGACCAGCTGCTCTGTGGACAGGAGAGGAATTCCAGTTTGGACCGAGAGGAGCCAGAAGCTCTGCAGATAAAAGAAGAGCAGAAAGAACCAGAACATCTATGGACTAAAGAGGAAACCATGGAGCTCCTCATAAGTGAGCATGAAGAGCAGCTTGTTGTGAAGCAGGAGACCGAAGACCAAATGGAGGAACCTTTCCAGTGTTTGACATTTGAGGAAATCTTTCCAAAAAAAAAAAATGTGATGGATCACATGAGCACTCTCTCAGGTGAGAAGATTAATCAATGTATGTCCTGTTGAAAAAGCTTCTCTCAGAAATTAATTCTTGTTACACACATCAGACTTCATACAGGTGAGAAACTATTTTCCTGTACTATTTGTTAACAAAAGGTTTACTGTAGAAAATTTTGCCCTAATGAACATATGAGAATTCACAGCGACGAGAAGCCTTTCTCCAGTTTTATTTGTAGCAAACAGTTTACTCTAAAAGGTAAGTTAACTGAACACTAGGGCTGTCACAATAACCGCACCAATGAAATATGGCGATATCAAGAAGCTCACCGCGCTACAAAACCAGCCACCGCCATCACCGCATCTTGGGACAACAGTTGAGAAGGAAACAATGGCAGCTGCACTGATATCAAAACCAAATGTTATTTCGCTCCTTTGGGAGCATTTTGGTTTTCATCCAAAGGAAAAGGGGGAGCCAGACAATTTAAATAAGGCAATTTCTAAAATCTGCAGCAAAATGGTTCAAGTAAAACGTGGAAACACAATGAATTTAAGGGCTCATCTAGCTAGCTACCACCCAGCTGTTACGGAGCGGCTACCGCCGCCTCCTGCCACACAGAGTCGTGGGGCGGCTCATGTTGGTGCCAGCCGACAGCTTGGAGTCGGCGAAGCCTTTGCTCGAGTCGCTAAGTACAGCAGAGACAGTGACGGACATAAACAGCCGTGGTTACACGGTACCGGGTTGAAGAAATGGTGCCATTTTCCACTGTGGAGAAACCTGCATTCTGGTCGCTCCTCCGAGCGCACCGTCCCAGAGGGTTTTCAGTGTCGCTGGAAATGTTGTCATCCCTCTCAGATCCTCTCAAAAAGCATAAGGTTAACATGCCGGTTTTCCTTGCCTGCAACAAGGACATGGCTGAGCTTTAAATCACCGTCATTTGTTTGTGTGTGTGAATTAAGAATTATGGTGCCTTTTACATTTAATTTTGTATTGGCATACTTAAGTAAAAAAAACATAACAAAACAGGCACTTGTTTTTTTTTTTTATTAAAGATGCTGAAGTCAAATTTGCCTTTAAAACTTCAGCCTTCTTCTGAATTTTGTTAAGTTCAGTCAGAGAAATGAGGCATATCTGTGCCATTACTGCCCTTTGATCTTTGTTCAACAATATACAAACACATTTGGGAAATAAATAGATTAGAATAAAGGAAAAAAAAAGATGGTGCAATAATATCGCATATTTCGATATTTAGCTTCCTTGAATAATCTCAGGGGGAATTCCTCAACCGCAACAGCTCTACTGAACACATGAGAATTCATACTGGTGAGAAGCCTTTCATATGCCTGTCCTGTGGAAAAAGCTTCACTCAGAAATGTAATCTTTATACACACAACAGAATTCATTCCCCATGATCCTTTCTGCTCTCCTCACCTTCTTCCAGTCTGAGGCGCTGCAGCCTCCACACCACACAGTGAGACAGCTGGTCAGAACGCTCTCTATGGTGCTTCTGTAGAAGGTGGGGAGGATGGGGGGGCATGTGGGCTCTCCTCATCCTCTGCAGGAAGTCCAAGCACTTCTGTGCCCTTTTGACCAGTGAGGTGATGTTTCCAGTCCAGGTGAGGGTGTCTGTGATGTGCACCCCCAGGAATTTGGTGCTGCTGACCACCTCTACAGCTGAGCTGTTGATGAGCAGTGGAGCGTGGTTAGGACGGTTCTTCCTAAAGTCCAAGATGATCTCCTTGGTCTTCACCACGTTCAGGATCAAGCTGTTATCTTTGCACCAGCCCACCAGCTGCTCCATCTACTCTCTGTAGTCCAGGTCGTTGTCGTCTCTGATGAGACCCACCACTGCGGTGTTGTCTACAAACTTCACAATGTGATTGGTGGTGAACCTGGGGACGCAGTCATGTGTCAGCAGGGGGCTCAGGACGCAGCCCTGAGGGGAGTCTGTGCTCAGACTAATGACATCAGAGGTGTTCTGTCCGACCCGGACTGACTGAGGTCTGTTGGTGAGGAAGTCTAGCAGCCAATAGCAGACCATTTTCCCATAAACAGCAATAGAAATGCTCTGCTGACTTAATGGAACCTTGTGGCAGCTGCAGTGGCATGCAGCTGCCACAAGGTTCCAGAGGACCTGCCATTAGTCTGTCCTGTCCCATTCTGAAATATGGGCTTGAATGTGAAGAAATAACAGTATTTCCTCACAACCCTGTCTTCTCTGATAATTTTTTTTTAATAACCTTCAAGATTTGCTGGTGAAGATTCTCAGTCATTCCAAAAAAGTAAAAAAAAACAATCCGCTGGACATTGCTTCCAAGTTTGAAGACGTGTCGCTTCCCTTCCTGGTGGCTTTTTCAATTCAAAATGTAAGAAATAGCATTGAGTTCAAGGTTTTATAGAGTGGAGCAAAAACAAAGCCTTCTTTTGGCTTGGAAAACATGTTTCAATTGGAGTTTTCCAAGCCAAAACAAGGCTTTGTTTTTGCTCCACTCTATAAAACCTTGTTTTTGGTCCACCAAAAAAAAGGTTTTCGCTCAGAGGTGTTCTTTTTTTTTTATTTCTCTTTCATCTTGATTGTGTCTCTTCCGGGTTGGTTGGCTATACTTTGCTGAAGAAAGGCTGTGTTTCATCAGGTTATGCTTCCTTAAAGGGGATCTGTTTTTTTTTACATTGGGCCCTTGATTTTAAGTTATTACATCATATTCTACTTACCCATATCAGTTTTGTGATATTTGGAGCTGTTCTGGAGATATTCAGAGGATATTCCATCTAAAACAGGCTTTGACATATCAATTCAATTCAGTTTACTTATATAGTGACAATTCACAACACAAGTCATCTTAAGGCACTTTACAGTTCAACCGGATCATACAGTCAAATTGGTTCAAAATTTTCTATCTAAGGAAAACCAATTGATTACATCGACTCATTGACTCAAATAAAATCCTTCACACTAAGCATGCTTGTAGCAACAGTGGAGAGGAAAAACTCCCTTTTAACAGGAAGAAACCTCCAGCAGAACCAGGCTCAGTGTGAGCGGCCATCTGCCGAGGCCGACTAGGGTTCAAGGAGACAGAAGCAGAGATACAAAAAGCAGCTGTAGAAGGCGGCCCCGTCCAGGAAACACACAGCCAGGCAGACGAGCACCGAGCCAGCTCCCATGCCAGAGGACGAAGAGAGCACATCCAGCCAGTCACGGTCAGGGAAACAGGACTACACTGGAAAACAGGCCGATCTCCAGCATCTATAAACAAGGGTTTTGATGGAAGTAGCACAGCTGATATTTCTCTCCAGGATGCAGTCACAGCCGAACAGGAACAGACGAGGCAAACCTACTATGAGAAAAAGCAGAGAGAGCATAACGTTAGAGATTGAACTAACAGATTCTGCAAAGTAGGAGAATAGAGAGAGAATGATGCAGAATGATGAAATGGGGGTCCCTGTGTCCTCCAGCCGTCTAAACCTGTAGCAGCATAACATTTTGGATCAGCTGAAGGCTTTTAACTACAGTTTGTGGACTTCCTGATAGTAAAGAATTACAATAGTCCAGCCTTGAAGTAACAAATGCAAGGACTAGTTTCTCAGCAACAATCCTGGACAGGGTTTTCTAATTTTTGCAATATTCCTCAGATGAAAGAAGGAAATTCTACAAGCCTATTTGATATGGGATTTAAATGACCGGTCCTGATAAAAAAACAACACCAACGTTTTTTACTTTATTATCTGAAATCAGTTTAATCCCATCCAAATGAAGTTACCGACTAATCAGCTTCTTTTTCAGAGACTCTGGTCCAAAGACTATAACTTCTGTTTTGTCTGCATTCAGAAGGAGAAAGTTAAGAGTCATCCAGGTTTTTATGTCTTCAAGACATGCCTGTAATCTATGTAATGGGTTAGCTTCATCTAGATTTATAGACAGATTTAGCTGAGTATCATGAGCATAACAGTGAAAATTAATCCCATGCTGTCTAATAATTTTACCGATTGGGAGCTTATATATAATAAAGAGAATTGGTCCTAGCACTGATCCCTGTGGTACTCCACAGGTAACCTTTGAGCATGTGGAAGATCTGTCATTAAGAGGACAGGATTTAGAGGATTTAGAGGACAGGGTTGCGAGGAAATACTGTTATTTCTTCACATTCTATGCCGTATGTCAGCACAAGATACAAAGTATGAAGATGAGAATATGTGGGACTATTCACATTTTGAACAAAGCCAATAGTGTCTAAGATAGCATTAAAGGCTGCTCTTAAGCTATCGCCTTCAATGTCAGCATGGATGTTAAAATCTCCCACTATGATGACCCTGTCAGTATTTAATACCAAATCAGAAAGGAACTTTGAAAACTCATCTAAAAATTCAGAGTAAGGACCTGGTGGACGATACAAAGTTACAAAACGAAGAAGCTTTCTTGCTTTGAAATTTGGATCAGGGAAATTAAGGGTTAAATGTTCAAAAGAGTTGTAGGTATTAACTGCCTTGGGAGTAATCAGTAAGTCAGACTGAAAGATTGTTGCTACTCCTCCTCCTCGCCCAGAACTTCTGGGTGTGCTCACATAATCCTCTTGCTGCAGCCAGCTTTCTGTAAGGCAAGATAAGTCAATGTGATTAACACAAATCAAGTCATTAACTAGCAGACTTTTAGAGGAAAGAGATCTTATGTTATAAATCTGCAGTTATTCAGATTTTGAAGCTTTAATGATAAAAGTGGAGGTCCAAAACTTGCCAGACAACAGTACAACTTTGACCGGTCTTTTGTGATTGTGGTTTCAGAGCTGCAGTGCATGCTAGGAGATGTAGTTCCAGTCTGTTTCTTTGTAGTTGGATTAACACAAGGATAATTTAAGTGATGTGTCCTTTCTATAACCACCAATAGAAACTCTTTCTGCTGGTTTTGTCTTTCAGACTGCCTTCAGGATTATGTTGTAAAAGTGGAAGATTTCTCTGACCAGCAGCTCTGTGAACAGAAAAGGAATTCCAGTTTGGACCAAGAGCAACCAGAACCTCTGCAGATAAAAGAAGAGCAGAAAGAACCAGAACATCCCTGGATAAAAGAGGAAACCATGGAGCTCCCCATTAGTGAGCAGGAAGAGCAGCTTGTTCTGAAGCAGAAGATTGAAGATACAGGAAAGAAATCTTTCCCATGTTTAACATTTGGAGAGAACTTTCTGAAAAATGAAAATTTAATGGATCACTTGAGAACTCAAAGAGGTAAGAAGATTTATGAATGCCTTACCTGTGGAAAAATGTTCACAACGAAATATAATCTTCATACACACATGAGAATTCACATTGGTGAGAAGCCTTTTAAATGCCTGTACTGTGGAAAATGCTTCATTCGGAAATCTGATCTTTATAGACACATCCGAATTCACTCAGGTGAGAAACTTGTTTCCTGTACCATTTGTAACAAGAAGTTAATTGACAAGAGTAATTTGATTTCTCACATGAGATTTCACACTGATGAGAAGCCCTTTTCCTGTACCATTTTTAACAAGAAATTTAATCAAAAGAGTAAATTGACTTTTCACACGAGAATTCATACAGGTGAGAAGCCATTTTCCTGCACAATTTGTAACAAGAGCTATCATCAAATTAGTAGTTTGACCAGACACATCAGAACTCACACTGGTAAGAAACCATTTCCCTGTACCATTTGTAAAAAGAATTTTACTCAAAAGATTAACTTGACTTCTCACATGAGAATTCATGCAGTTAAGACCTTTCAATGTCTGTCCTGTGGAAAACACTTCACCACTAAGTCTGATCTCAATAAACACGTGAGAATTCATACAGGAGAGAAACCCTTTTCCTGTACCATTTGTGACAAGAAATTTACACTTAAAAGTAATATGACTAAACACATGAGAATTCACACAGGTGAGAAGCCTTTTTCCTGCACGATTTGTAACAAGAGTTATCATCAAATTAGTAGTTTGACCAGACACATCAGAACTCACACTGGTAAGAAACCCTTTTCCTGTACCATTTGTAACAAGAATTTTACTCAAAAGATTTACTTGAATTCTCACATGAGAAATCATGAGAATCCCTTTCAATGTCTGTCCTGTGGAAAACACTCCACCTCTAAGTCTGATCTCAATAAAAACATGAGAATTCATACAGGAGAGAAACCCTTTTCCTGTACGATTTGTGACAAGAAATTTATTCAAAAGAGTAAATTGACTTTACACACAAGAATTCATACAGGTGAGAAGCCTTTTTCCTGTACCATTTGTAACAAGAATTTTACTCAAAAGATTTACTTGAATTCTCACATGAGAATTCATGCAGTTAAGACCTTTCAATGTCTGTCCTGTGGAAAACACTTCACCACTAAGTCTGATCTCAATAAACACATGAGAATTCATACAGGAGAGAAACCCTTTTCCTGTACGATTTGTGACAAGAAATTTATTCAAAAGAGTAAATTGACTTTACACACAAGAATTCATACAGGTGAGAAGCCGTTTTCCTGCACGATTTGTAACAAGAATTATCCTCAAGTTGGTAGTTTGAACAGACACATCAAAACTCACACTGAGAAGCCTTTTCCTTGTACCATTTGTAACAAGAATTTTACTTATAAGTATAATTTGACTTGTCACATGAGAATTCATGCTGCTAAGAATCCCTTTCAATGCCTGTCCTGTGGAAAACACTCCACCTCTAAGACTAATCTTGATAAACACATGATAACTCACACAGGTGAGAAGGCCTTTTCCTGTACCATTTGTGACAAGAAATTTACACTTAAAAGTAGTTTCACTAAACACATGATAACTCACACAGGTAAGAAGCTGTTCTCCTGAATAATTTGTGACAAAGGTTTTAAATGAGAAGGTAATTTGAGTATTCAGATTACATTTATTCATGCATGATGAATAAGTGTCTAACTGCTGTGACTGCCCTAACAGTCACAGCAGTTAGACACCAGAGGAATGAACAGTAGAAGCATTTTCCATGTTTGACTGATGATAAAATGTCCATCTAGAAACACCTTCACCTCATTACATGAGAAACTCACAGGTTAATGGTCTTTTTCAAGAAAAGTTTTACGAAAGCCATTAATTAACAGCTCTGTTTACATAGAAACTAGAACAGATGAGGTTTTGTATTGTAAACCTGGTTAATATTCAGGTCCTGGACGAATATGTGGATGTGAACATTTGAGTTAATTATTTTGGGGCTGATAAAAATTGGATTTAAATGGCAAAAACACAATTTCACAATTTATTACTTTTTCTGTAATGAACGGAATGAACAAAATAGTTTTCAATACTGTGCCATTTTCACATGGTGTGGCACAACTTTTTCTAAATGAATATATTCAGAACATTTTTGAGCCTTAGAAACTTTTAGCTGAATGATAAGCAATCGAGTGGATATATTCCAGAAAAAGGCTTTTATTCAGATGAAAATAAAAGCAAAGCCAGGACAGATTTAATGTTCTTTGCACAGTTTTGCTGTAGTTTTGGGAGGATTGTTTAAGATATTAGCTGCAAATGATCAGCATTGAGTTTTTCTAAAGCAGTATCTTGTTGGCTTAGCAATGCATCAATCAGCCCTGCTACGTGTGTTGTTGAAACCAGGCCCACCAAGAAATAACTCAGTTTAGAGGCTGGAGTCTGTAGTTCAGGTAAATTGAAGTCCTAAAATGATGAAACATGTTTGTTTAAAAAGATAAACTAGATTGATGATGTTGATATTTTTACTGATCAGTTTGAACCTGCTTTAACTCGGTAAAAAGCCTTTGTCTTAATAATGTATTAAAGAAATCTGACTCTCCTCTAGAAGTGTGAAGTTTCTGCTTTTTAAAGATTTTTGAAAGTATAATTTTCCTTTGAACTAATTCTAATAGTTTTGTTCTTGATTCTGTAGATGTTCTATTTACCTGCTATGATTGAAAGTAACTATCACCTATTTTATACAACTGATTTTATGGATTATATTCTGCTGTGGATGTTTTTAATTATTGTAATCACTTCTAAATTGATGAACGAGCAGCAATAAAAACCTCATGGATTGTAAAAATGTGTTTCTTTATCTGGTTTCATATAAATTAGAAACAATCTTTTTCCATGTTTTCTCTGATATTTTCAGCCAAACTAAAGCTGTAAAATAAATAGTTTAATGGCATTCACCTTCTGTCTTCTCCAGTCTTTCCTGTTGCTCCTCCATCAGCATTAATCTGTTTGCTTTTTAGAGCCTGAGTTCAAATCTGGCCATTGGATAAATCCTCCTTTGCTTGTTGGAGAACTTAGATCAGGAAATAATGTAGGTACGTATTCTGGCCCAGTTGGTTTGGCACCTGATAAAACAAGTGTTTCAGTTGCTATAACTGTGTGTGTCCAGAGCCGCTACAACCAAGCAACTAGAGGAATGAAGGATCTAACTATGGCTGTGTTCACAATGCAGCCTGAAGGGAACCAAATCTGATGTTTTTATTTATTAAAAATCATTACAAAATGCCAAAATGAAAGTTCAGCTTCACAGATGAACTCCAGAAAACATTTTTAGTCCAGTGGGAGGCTGAGTGCACCGTGTGCAAAGCTGGATCATTAGTTTCAGTGTCTAATAAAGGTGCTGGAGATCTCAAAGCTCACATGGACACTGAAAAACCTGACAAAGCTCTGAGAGGTGAGAGTTATTCTGCAAAGCTGACTGAGTACTTTGTTAGACCTGGGAACATTTGTTGAAGCTGTATTTTCTAATACAGAAGAGGTCATGTTTAGATTTTATTCATGTATTTTAAAAGAGTTATTAATTTTCTATTTTGTTACTGCTTGTTACAGGTTTTACTACAAAGGTATTTAGGTATAATAAAGCTGTTGATTAACCTTTGAGAAGCCTGTCTGAATCCGTCTGGAGGCTGGGCAAAGTGTCCTCTTTATGGAAATCTAAATATGCTCACCCTAATATATATACCTATTCTAAAAGAATTAGTTCTGTAGTTCCCATTTTTAAGCCAACTGATGTTTGCAGGAGCTGTTTTGAACTAGACTACAGAGGGACGGCAGCAGTTTATGGATCATGTTACTTCATGTTTTTGAACTTTATTAGGGAGATTCACTGAGCCTCCTGATGGGTTTTTAGGCACAAGACAATTTGGAGATAAAGACTCTTTATCTAAACACAAATAATCCAGTAGATTGTATGTTTGACCTCCTCTGCTATAAAACACGAGCATATTTACATAAAATAATGAGATTTTAAATTAATTCAGTCTTGTTTAAATGAAACTTTCAGTTCCCCACCATGTCCCCTTTTCTATGTTCTTCTGAAATTAATTTATGATTATAATAAAAAACAAAGTAATTCTGTTTTAAAAGTTACTGATAAATAGTACAGGTTGTGTAGTTTAAAGTACTTTAAGGCTGAAATGAATTAAAATAACCCAAACTGAATCAGCAGAGATGTCTAGAAGAGGGTCCAACGGGTCTCATCAGAAAGAACCAGAACAACATGCAGACAGCAGTGAGTGGGCGGAGCCAAGATACCTGGACAGGTGAGGAAGAGTTTGGACAACATCCTGAGGATCATTAAATGCTGAGACAGCATCTCCTCCCATCAGTAACTGGATCAGAACCAGGATAGATATCCTGATCACATCTAAAGCTTTGCTGTTTATCAATAAATCATTTTTCATCAGAACATCTTCTTCATCTTCCTCATCCATCAGAACATCCAGTCAAATTTATTTAAAGTTTTCTATCTAAGTAAACCAGTTGATTGCATTGACTCAAATACAATCTCTCACACAAAGCATTCTTGTAGCGACAGTGGAGAGGAAAAACTCCCTTTTAACAGAAAGAAACCTCCAGGCAGACGAGCACAGAGCCAGCTTTCATGCCAGAGGACGAAGAGAGCACATCCAGCCAGTCACGGTCAGAGAAACAGGACCACACTGGAAAACAGGCCGATCTCCAGCATCTATAAACAAGGGTGTTGATGGAAGCAGCACAGCTGATGTTTCTCTCCAGGATGGCGTCACAGCCGAACAGGAACAGACGAGGCAAAGCTACTCTGAGGAATAGCAGAGAGAGCAGAAGGTTAGAGATTGAACTATTGAATAATTGAATAATAATTGAATAATTGAATTCTGCAGAATAGGAGAATAGAGAGAATGAAGCAGAATGATGAAATGGGGGTCACTATGTCCTCCAGAAGTCTAAGCCTATAGCAGCATAACTATAGAGATAGTTCAGGATAACCTGAGCCACTCTAACTATAAGCTTTATCAAAAAGGAAAGTTTTAAGCCTAGCCTTAAAAGTAGACAGGGTGTCTGCCTCACGGACTAAAACTGGTAGTTGGTTCCACAGGAGAGGAGCCTGATAACTAAAAGATATGCCTCCCATTCTACTTTTAGAAATTCTAGGAACCACTAGTAAACCTGCAGATTGAGAGCGAAGTGCTCTGTTAGGAACATAAGGAACAATCAGATCTCTGATATAAGATGGAGCTTGGCCATTTAAGGCTTTATATGTGAGAAGGAGGATTTTAAATTCTATTCTGGATTTAACAGGAAGCCAATGAAGAGAATAAAATGTATTTGCATACCTTTTTAAATTGAAATAATTAATCAGAATAAGCAGTATAATAAGAATCTTTGCAGAGTAGTGGTGACCATTTCAGGTGTATAGTTGGAGAGTGAATTGTTGGCCGTTTCTCAATTCACTCTCCAACTATACTCTTTATGGGGACAGGTGTGCACACAGGGTGGGGTTCTATTTCATGAAGAGGTGTTTTTCTAAAGTAGCCTGATAGTTAGGGAAGAAGGGACTATTGATGTTGGCAGCAGTAAACAAGTCCATACTACTTAGATGACCTAAAATGGCGAACCAGCGTCATCACGGAGAAGGACTATGTGTTTTCACTAGTGTTGCGCCGATGCCATTTTTTGGCCCCGATACCTGGCTGTGCAGTATTGGCCGATACCGATACCATAATAATGTAAAATAATTGCCATCATGGCTTTGTCGAGCTGCTGCCTACCTTTGTGAAGCAGGAAAAAATCTAATGCAAAGTGAATCCAGTAGAACTTTTTATTGCCTACCTGGAATGGGTGACAATAGTTGAATAAACTTATGGCTCTCAAAATGGTATCTGTGCTTTATTTGTTGGTACTCGCCGATACCGATACCACCATTTTAGGGCAGTATCGGGCCCCCGTGCAACACTAGTTTTCACCCCGTGGTTCTTACTTTTCGTGGCTAAAAAAAAACTTTGATGGATTATTTTGACACAAGAGTTTATTTAATGGGAAATAGGACTGGATATTATTTTTCTGTGGAGTCTTACAGACAAAATGAGAATGTTTTTACCATGATCGCTCAACACCCGGCCGGCAGAGGAGGTAAACAAGGTAAGAGCTGGAAGTTATTAACCATAAATTCATGACAGGAACACATCAGCCTCAGGACCGGATGCTAATATCTCTGCAGTGGGAATATAAATCTGGTACGGTTCTACTGTTGATGCTCCTCCAAAATGTTATTAAAACCCAGAACAGCAGTGAGAAGTGATGGAGAGTTATGGTCAATGGATGATTTAACTAATAAATATAATGCCTAATCCTCATCCCAGGAATATGGAGAAATTATAAATGATATCCTAAAAATATTTATTAATTTAGTTCAAGGTTGCCTCAGTAATATCTCAGTGCCTAAAAAAAAAAACATATCCATGTATTGAGAACCAAATATCTTAAATTTGCTATTCCGCCTAAATATAAAGAGATTTATTTCTAAACTTTAAATAACATTTATCCTTCCAACCAAATCATATGCTCATAATTTGATTTTACTGTAGATAAATGTCGTCTATGTGAGCAAAAAGAGGAAATGAACTGAACATTATTGTTCTTTATTGTAATAAAACCCAAAATACTTTTATTAAGATTTTATTTAAGATTCTTAGTTCAGAACTGGTTACTCTCGAGATCCTTTAGGATAAATATTCTGTCCCCCTGAAATTTGATTGTAGTGCCCAAGATAAACAAATAGAATTTATAATTAATATTTTCATTATTATGGACACATTTTTCATACACATAAGTCTTAACTCTCTCTGCATAAGACATTTTCTCAATGACAGTGGAGATTGGTTATCTGTTGGTGAATTTAGCTTATTATATAATCTGGATTGCTCACACGCTCAGTTTAAAGCAGTAATGAATTCTGTCCCCACTGCAGTCAAACATCTG